AAAAAAAAAAAAAAAATATTGGGGGTTGGGAGAACACAGATTACATATAATAAACCATGAATGTAGTTTCAGTTGGGTGATAGGTACAAGGCATTATACCATTTTAATTAAAATATTAAAATTTCCATTATAAACCATGGGGGGAGTATATTAACAAACCTATTTACTCTTTTAAATTTCTGTTTATTTCATGTCTGTATCATGTAAGTTGCATGTAAGTATTTAAAGTCATTTAAAACATTACTTGAAGCACTGAATGGCAGCATATATTTCTGAATATAAGGGATTTAGTAGAAAAGATTATGAAACCAGGAAAAGAAAAAACTGGGCTGTTATTTTACATATGCACTAGATGGCACTATCTCAACAGGAAAGAACAAAGCATACCTGAGACTACTTTTTTTTGAGACGGAGTCTCACTATGCCGCCCTCTGTAGAGCACGTGACATCATAGCTCACAGCAACCTCAGACTCTTGGGCTTGAGCAATTCTCTTGCCTCAGTCTCCAGAGTAGCTGGGACTCGAGGTGCCCACCATAACGACTGGCTATTTGTCGTTGTTGTTGTCATTGTTGTTTAGCAGGCCTGGGCTGGTGCACGTGGCTGGCACCCTAACCATGAGCTACAGACACCAAACCTTGAGACTACGTTTTTAAAAGCCTTGAACCCTTGGTTTTTCTTACTACAAGAAAACCACCTCTCTACATTGATCATCTGTGGCAATCATCTTGCTCTGTAAACCCACATCCTGCTCTATAAACTTCACTTCATGCTTAAAGCAAAAAACTTGAATCCTTAACTATAACAGTTTTAAAGTGCACAATAAGAATGAATGTATGTTTAAAAATTACAGACATTTAGTATGTACCTTATAAAACTATAAGCAGAAGTTAGAACAGTAAAAAAATACAAATATTTTAAATAATGATGATTTTATGCTAACGTGAGTTAATATCAAGGCAGAATACACTCCTATGGTAAACTGCTACTATCTTAAGATATAATCCCACAGTACGGTATTGATAATTGTAAATAATCAGCTTTGATTAATAATCATTGTTGTGCCTTATATCTTGACTGACAAACACACACTGGGAGTAGGCATGCCACACCTAGGCTCAACTCATGAGTACCCTCTTCAATAAGTGACATCTATACAGGCGTCTTTGGAGCATAGATAACATCCCTAAGTTCACTGGCACAAACAAGTCAATTCCAAGATGATACAATATGACGAATGTGGACTTGCAAGTGAGGGAGCTACTTTCAAACCTTTCAAATCTTAGAAGGCCTCACGTAAGGGCAACAGTATCAAATCAGTCAATTTGATATCAGTTTGATTTTTATAAATTTACATGGATACATATTTTCCTTGTATGCCCCATATTTTCCTTTTTGTATCTTTCAGACTCTGAAGTGTACACTCCTCTTAAAGGTGCTACTTTAGAGGATTAGTTTACATAATGCTCAGTTCTTTCCCTCAACCCCTAAAAAGAAGCTTAAAACTTTTTCCTAGAAGAAAATGAACAAAGAGTCCACATACCTTTAACTTTTTTTCTAGTTTCATCATCAGCAGTTTTAGTAGTTGGGTTGTTAAATGCTTTTAGAATGCTAACTTGTATTCTCTGGAAGACAAAGTTAATGATAGTTAACTCAGCCATCATCCTCTTAGTAAAAGAGCGTTCAAACACTGTGGTTCTTAGTTCCTCAGTTTAAAAATAGAATGACTGAATTAAAAGAAACAACATGCCCTTTTTTTCATCTCTCTAATGCCAAATTCTCCTAAGAGTCAAAGTTCCAATGTTTAGGTTCTTTCTTGGGCTTAAAGTATTTTTATCACTTAGTCTACAAAAACCAAGCAGCCGCCCATTCACACTTTGTCATCTTTTTTTAAGGACAGTCTCCTTCTGTCACCTACACTGTAGTGCAGTAGCACAATCATAGCTCACTGTAGCTTCTAATTCCTGGGCTCAAGTGGCCCTTCTGCCTCAGCCTCTTGGGTAGCTGGAACTACAGTCATGGGCCACCATGCCCTCTTTGAGAGAAAGTCTAACTATGCTCCCAGGCTGGTATTGAACTCCTGGCCTTAATCCTATCTCCAACTTCCAAATCACTGGTATAACAGGCATGGGCTCAGGTCCTCCTAAAATTACATTCTTCAATCAAGATCAAAAAAGCAGTTATATAAGATTTTAAGGTTTTCTTCATATACAAGAAGCTATCAAGATGATCACTATGAGTTCTATATAAAATTACTTTCTATACATGTGATTAAAGTCTAGAATATCAATTAATGTACACAGCAAGAAGATTCAATATCACAGGAAACCTTCAGAATGAAAAAAAACTATTCTAAAAACAAAAATTTGTTTAATAAATCACCATTTACACTAACTGTACCCCAAATTAGTGGATGAATTTTGCCTTCTCTAATTGACATTGTGATAGTAGGATATATACAGGGCAAGCTTGTAAATTACCTTTTAAAAAGTATTTTTAGAATCTTGATCATAGGTTTTAACATGTCTGAAAACCATTGTCTGAACTATACTCTCTGGTATGAAAGTGATACATGATACAAGATTCTTTGTTAAATTGTCCAGAGTCTAGCATAGACGTACATGCCTGTAGACCCACTCACTCAGGAGACTGAGGTGAGAGGACTATTGCAGGCTTGGGGTTCACGGCTGCAATGAGCTATGACCAAGTCTGTGCATAGCTATTGAACTCTGCCTTAGGCAACACAGTGAGATCTCATCTCTGTTAAAAGTCAAAGAGAAATTAAACTCAAAATGCAGACTTCCCAGAGAATAAAAAGCAGTACCCCTCAGAATCCAAGATACTTCCCAGTGTTAAGAAATTTCAGTCTTTATTTTCAATGGATTTAAATATTTAAAACAAATGGATTAGCATCAATTTATAAATTTAGTAAAAGGACATCAAAACTGAATACAAGCAGAAGAAGTAATGAAGACAAAAGTAGAAGAGCTCAATTGAAAGCTGCTTCTTTCCATGGCGATAAATAAACCTATTAGCTAATCTTAAGAGAAGGGTAAAAAGCCTAATATCTAAGAACTGAGAGAAACCTCTGACAAAGAAATTATCACTAACCATGACAGGCCACTTTGTTCAACTCTCACATAACTACAGTTGAAAATTTAGAAGAGGCTTTTCCTGAAAATAAAATTATCAAAATTAACCCCAGGCTTGGCACCTGTAGCTCAGCGGCAAGGGCACCAGCCACATACACAGGGGTTGGTGAGTTCAAATCCAACTTGGGCCTGCCAAACAACAATGACAACTATAACCAAAAAAAGCTGGGCATTGTGGCAGGCACCTATAGTCCCAGCTACTTGGGAGGCTAAGGCAAGAGATTCGCTTGAGCCCAAGAGTTTGAGGTTGCTGTGAGCTATGATGCCACAGTACTCTACCCAGGGTGACATAGTGAGACTCTGTCTCAAAACAAAATAAAAATTCCAGAAAAAACAAAGTCTTCCAGTTATTACAGGAAAAAAATGTTAAATAGCTCCTTATAAAAATCTCCTGGCTCTAACAATTTCAGAGAAATGCCACTAAGGGAAACTTCCAAATTACTGTCATGAAGTTTAATACTTACTTAAAAAACTCTAAGATCCCAGAATTACAACTGAAGTCTTAAGTAAAAATAAAAAAACCTAGTAACACAGCACACCAACAACACTTATGAAAACATTCTAAATAAAATAATGGAATATAGCAGTATATTATAAGTACATATGACCAAGTAGCTTTTATTCTAATGCAGGAATATTAGGAAACCTATTAATAAACCATCAATAAACTAAGAAAAAAGTTATCAGAACAAATGCGTTGGTGTCTCCTCGTATCCCCATTCACTACCATTCTCTAACTTTGTAACAGAGTTCCCACTGAT